TTTCTGGCCAAACTAGAAGAGCTAGGGCCTAAATACTGAAAATCTGTGATCACTTTTATTTCCAACCAAAACTCGATTTTTGAGTGAAAAACTAAAAGTCCATTTTCTGGCGAACCTAGAATAGCTAGAGCCTAAATACTGAAAATCTGTGATCACTTTTATTTCCAACCAAAACTCAATTTTTGAGTGAAAAACTAAAAGTCCATTTTCTGGCGAAACTAGAAGAGCTAGAGCCTAAATACTGAAAATCTGTGATCACTATTATTTCCTACCAAAACTCGATTTTTGAGTGAAAAACTAAAAGTCCATTTTCTGGCGAAACTAGAAGAGCTAGGGCCTAAATACTGAAAATCTGTGATCACTATTATTTCCAACCAAAACTCGATTTTTGAGTGAAAAACTAAAAGTCCATTTTCTGGCGAAACTAGAAGAGCTAGAGCCTAAATACTGAAAATCTGTGATCACTTTTATTTCCAACCAAAACTCGATTTTTGAGTGAAAAACTAAAAGCCCATTTTCTGGCGAAATTAGAAGAGCTAGAGCCTAAATAATGAAAATCTGTGATCACTATTATTTCCTACCAAAACTCGACTTTTGAGTGGAAAACTAAAAGTCCATTTTCTGGCGAAATTAGAAGAGCTAGGGCCTAAATACTGAAAATCTGTGAACACTTTTATTTCCAACCAAAACTCGATTTTTGAGTGAAAAACTAAAAGTCCATTTTCTGGCGAAATTAGAAGAGCTAGAGCCTAAATAATGAAAATCTGTGATCACTATTATTTCCTACCAAAACTCGACTTTTGAGCGGAAAACTTAAAGTCCATTTTCTGGCGAAACTAGAAGAGCTAGAGCCTAAATACTGAAAATCTGTGATCACTTTTATTTCCAACCAAAACTCGAATTTTGAGTGAAAAACTAAAAGTCACTTTTCTGGCGAAACTAGAAGAGCTATAGCCTAAATAATGAAAATCTGTGATCACTTTTATTTCCAACCAAAACTCGATTTTTGAGTGAAAAACTAAAAGTCCATTTTCTGGCGAAACTAGAAGAGCTATAGCCTAAATAATGAAAATCTGTGATCAGTATTATTTCCTACCAAAACTCGATTTTTGAGTGAAAAACTAAAAGTCCATTTTCTGGCGAAATTAGAAGAGCTAAGTAATGAAAATCTGTGATCAGTATTATTTCCTACCAAAACTTGATTTTTGAGTGAAAAACTAAAAGTTCACTGGCGAAACTAGAAGAGCTAGGGCCTATATACTGAAAATCTGTGATCACTTTTATTTCCAACGAAAACTCGATTTTTGAGTGAAAAACTAAAAGTCCATTTTCTGGCGAAACTAGAAGAGCTAGGGCCTTAATACTGAAAATCTGTGATCACTTTTATTTCCTACCAAAACTCGATTTTTGAGTGAAAAATTAAAAATCCATTTTCTGGCGAAACTAGAAGAGCTAGGGCCTAAATACTGAAAATCTGTGATCACTTTGGACTAAAAGTCCATTTTCTGGCGAAACTAGAAGAGCTAGGGCCTAAATAATGAAAATCTGTGATCACTTTCATTTCCTACCAAAACTCGATTTTTGAGTGAAAAAATAAAAGTCCACTTTCTGGCGAAACTAGAAGAGCTAGGGCCTAAATAATGAAAATCTGTGATCACTTTTATTTCCTACCAAAACTCGATTTTTGAGTGAAAAACAAAAAGTCCATTTTCTGGCGAAACCAGAAGAGCTAGGGCCTAAATAATGAAAATCTGTGAAAACTCGATTTTTAAGTGCAAAACTAAATGCTGATTTTCTGGCGAAACTAGAAGAGCTAGGGCCTAAATAATGAAAATCTGTGATCACTTTTATTTCCTACCAAAACTCGATTTTTGAGTCAAAAACTAAAAGTCCATTTTCTGGCGAAACTAGAAGAGCTAGAGCCTAAATAATGAAAATCTGTGATCACTTTTATTTCCTACCAAAAGTCGATTTTTGAGTGAAAAACTAAAAGTCCATTTTCTGGCGAAACTAGAAGAGCTAGGGCCTAAATACTGAAAATCTGTGATCACTTTTATTTCCTACCAAAAGTCGATTTTTGAGTGAAAAACTAAAAGTCCATTTTCTGGCGAAACTAGAAGAGCTAGGGCCTAAATACTGAAAATCTGTGATCACTTTTATTTCCTACCAAAACTCGATTTTTGAGTCAAAAACTAAAAGTCCATTTTCTGGCGAAACTAGAAGAGCTAGAGCCTAAATAATGAAAATCTGTGATCACTTTTATTTCCTACCAAAAGTCGATTTTTGAGTGAAAAACTAAAAGTCCATTTTCTGGCGAAACTAGAAGAGCTAGGGCCTAAATAATGAAGATCTGTGATCACTTTTATTTCCAACCAAAACTCGATTTTTGAGTGAAAAACTAAAAGTCCATTTTCTGGCGAACCTAGAAGAGCTAGAGCCTAAATACTGAAAATCTGTGATCACTTTTATTTCCAACCAAAACTCAATTTTTGAGTGAAAAACTAAAAGTCCATTTTCTGTCGAAACTAGAAAAGCTAGGGCCTAAATAATGAAAATCTGTGATCAGTCTTATTTCCGAACAAAACTCGATTTCTGATTCAAAAACTATAAGTCCATTTTCTGGCGAAACCAGAAGAGCTAGGGCCTAAATAATGAAAATCTGTGATCACTTTTATTTCCTACCAAAACTCGATTTTTCAGTGAAAAACTAAAAGTCCATTTTCTAGCGAAACTAGAAGAGCTAGGGCCTAAATAATGAAAATCTGTGATCACTTTTTAGTGAAAAACTAAAAGTCCATTTTCTGGCAAAACTAGAAGAGCTAGAGCCTAAATAATGAAAATCTGTGATCACTTTTATTTCCTACCAAAACTCGATTTTTGAGTGAAAAACTAAAAGTCCATTTTCTGTCGAAACTAGAAGAGCTAGAGCCTAAATAATGAAAATCTGTGATCACTTTTTTTTCTTACCAAAACTCGAGTTTTGATTAAAAAACTAAAAGTTAATTTTCTGGCGAAACTAGAAGAGCTAGAGCCTAAATAATGAAAATCTGTGATCAGTCTTAGACTATAATCTAGTCTATAATCTGGACTATAGTCTAGTCTATAATCTGAACTATAGTCTAGTCTATAGTCTGGACTATAGTTTAATCTATAATCTGAACTATAGTCTAGCCTACAGTCTGGACTATAGTCTAGTCTATAGTCTGTACTATAGTCTAGTCTAGTCTATAGTCTGTACTATAGTCTAGTCTAGTCTGTAGTCTGTACTATAGTCTAGTCTAGTCTATTGTCTGTACTATAGTCTAGTCTAGTCTATAGTCTGTACTACAGTCTAGTCTATTCTAGTCTATAGTCTGTACTACAGTCTAGTCTAGTCTATAGTCTGTACTATAGTCCAGTCTATAGTCTGTACTACAGTCTAGTCTAGTCTAGTCTATAGTCTGTACTATAGTCTAGTCTAGTCTAGTCTATAGTCTGTACTATAGTCTAGTCTGTAGTCTGTACTATAGTCTAGTCTAGTCTATTGTCTGTACTATAGTCTAGTCTATAGTCTGTACTACAGTCTAGTCTATTCTAGTCTATAGTCTGTACTACAGTCTAGTCTAGTCTATAGTCTGTACTATAGTCTAGTCTATAGTCTGTACTACAGTCTAGTCTAGTCTAGTCTATAGTCTGTACTATAGTCTAGTCTATAGTCTGTACTATAGTCTAGTCTATAGTCTGTACTATAGTCTAGTCTAGTCTATAGTCTGTACTATAATCTAGTCTAGTCTGTACTATAGTCTAGTCTATAGTCTGTACTATAGTCTAGTCTATAGTCTGTACTATAGTCTAGTCTATAGTCTGTACTATAGTCTAGTCTATAGTCTGTACTATAGTCTAGTCTATAGTCTGTACTATAGTCTAGTCTATAGTCTGTACTATAGTCTAGTCTATAGTCTAATCTATAGTTTGTACTATTGTCTAGCATATAGTCTGTACTATTGTCTAGCCTATAGTCTGTACTATAGTCTAGCCTATAGTCTGTACTATAGTCTAGTCTATAGTCTGTACTATAGTCTAGTCTATAGTCTGTACTATAGTCTAGCCTATAGTCTGTACTATAGTCTAGCCTATAGTCTGTACTATAGTCTAGCCTATAGTCTGTACTATAGTCTAGCCTATAGTCTGTACTATAGTCTAGCCTATAGTCTGTACTATAGTCTAGCCTATAGTCTGTACTATAGTCTAGCCTATAGTCTGTACTATAGTCTAGCCTATAGTCTGTACTATAGTCTAGCCCATAGTCTGTACTATTGTCTAGCCTATAGTCTGTACTATAGTCTAGCCTATAGTCTGCTTTATAGTGTATTCGATATTTAGATCAGATGCCAGTTTATGGTTTGTGTGTTAACATTTGTATTTAATTTTTCACATTTTACCTAACAGTCACTTTTTATTTGAGATTTATGTCTAGATATTAATATTTATTTTGGCTTATTTTTATCATATTTCAAGAAAACAAATAAATTTTGCTACAAATAATGTTGTTTTTTTTAGTGGAAAATGTCACTTGCTTTTTGTAGTTTGACCATATTAAGCGCATTTTATCACGTTCAAAATTTGCTATTGTTGTTAGTGAGTGTCTCATATTTGAAAGAATGTAATATTTAAAGTGCTGCCAATTTGGTAAGTTTTTGCTAAAAATATGAAATTTTTAGTTAAAGGAAAAAAGGGGTTTGATAAGGTGGTGGTGGTGGCGGGAGTGAGTTTTAAAAATATGTAATTTTTTTGTTTTGTTGTTAAATTTTTGTATTAAATAAAGAAGAACTTGTTTTCTGTTGGTTTGTTTTGGTTTGTTTTGTTTACTTTACTTGTACGAAGTTTATTTTTGTCTTCGTTTAGAAGAAAAAAAAAACCCGATTTGTATGTTTGGTTAAGCTTGGCTATAGCTTTTATCGCCTAAAGCTTTAAGTAAACCATACATTGTTGTTGCTGTATTTTTTAGCTTGTAGCTTCGTTTAGTGAATGTCTTGAAACTAGTCTTCGTTTGGTAAGCTACGCACGAACAACACGTATTCTTGGGCTTCAAATTGAAACGCACGCGTTCGCGTTTTATTGTATGTACAGCACAATAACAACAACAATTTAACTATTTCTTAAACTCTACTGCATTACTGTGTTTAAACGAGGTTTAAAATAAAACTGCAACAACAACAAAAACTATAACAAAACTCTCTTTAAAAACTTGGATTATTGATTGGTTAAAGAAGAAAAAAAAACAACAAAATAAAGTGAGCAAAACAGTTTGTTTTTGGGTGTCTTTCGTATATTTTGACGGTTTTTTCTATTAATATTTTTAGAGTTGCATTTTACGCGAGTCCGGTTTTGCCAGCAGTTGCTGTTTGTTGTCTTAACGTTGGTTGGTATTACAACGGATAATTAATAAACGTTTAAAAACTGTTATTATAACCAAGTGCCGTAAAAAGTTTAAAAAAAAATTCCAAAAAATTCCAAAAAAGAATTTCAAAAAATTATAAAAATTTTAAAAACACAACCAAATCTTTTAACATAAATTAAACAAAAATTTAAATAAAATTTCAATTTTAAAACAAGTTTTTTCTAACTAAAGTTTTACCCAAAAAAAAAATATCTAAAATTCAAAAATAAATATTTATCTAATTACTAAACTGGTTTCAAATTTATTAATATTTTAAAAATCTTTAATTTCAACTGGTTTTTTAATTTAAAAGCTAAAAAATAGTGTGTCAAATAATTTCTTTAATTCCTTTATCTATACGGATTTATTGCAGTTTGTTAGCAGAGGATCGTTTAATATAAATAAAAAGAAATACTCATTCCTTAATTTGGGATTAATTTGCATATTTTTCATTTAATCAACGTTTAATTGAAAAAGGTAAGTCAGTGTGTTAAGCCTAGTGTTAAGGCTTTATTAAACATTTTATTAATAGCTATAAAAATAAAAATATTTTTGGTATTTAAAGTAAGATTTTTGTGAAAGATTAAAGTGAAGCACAGGTCAAATATTAAAAAAAAAAAAGATTTAACTAAATTTGATAGACTAGACTATAGATTAGACTATAGAGATGGCTATTGACTAGGTTATATAGACAAGACTTAAAACTAGAATGTAGACTAGCCTATAGATCAGAATATAGATCAGACTGTAGATCAGACTATAAACTAGACTATAGACTAGAATTTAGAGCAGAATATAGACTAGACATACACTAGACTATAAAATTTAGAATAGATTCGAATCTAGACTGCATTCCAAACTTTAAACAAGACAAAGACTATAGACTAGACTATAGACTAGACTAAGGACTAGACCATAGACTAGACTATATATTAGACTATAGACTAGAGACTAGGCTATAGACCAGACTATAGACTAGACTATAGTCTAGACTATAGACTAGACTATAGACTACACTATAGACTAGACTATAGACTACACTATAGACTAGGCTATAGACTAAACTATAGACTAGGCTATAGACTAAACTATAGACTAGGCTATAGACTAGACTATAGACCAGACTATAGACTAAACTATAGACTACAATATTGACTACACTATTGACTAGAGTAAAAACTATACTATAGACTAGACCATAGACTATCCTATAGACTAGGTTGTATATTAGACCATAGAATTGACTGTAAACTCAACTATAGACTGGACTTTAATATAGACTACTATATTAATATTTAATATAGACTACTATAAAAAACTAGCCTATAAGCCTGACTATAAACTATGCTATAGATTAGGCTTTAAACTCAACTATAGACTATACCAAAGACAAGACAATAGACTAGACTATAGACAACGCTATAGACTATGCTATTGACTAGACTAGACTAGACTAGACTAGACTATAGACTAGACTATAGACTAGACTATAGACTAGACTATAGACTAGACTATAGACTAGACTATAGACTAGACTATAGACTAGACTATAGACTAGACTATAGACTAGACTATAGACTAGACTATAGACTAGACTATAGACTAGACTATAGACTAGACTATAGACTAGACTATAGACTAGACTATAGACTAGACTAGACTAGACTATAGACTAGACTATAGACTAGACTATAGACTAGACTATAGACTAGACTATAGACTAGACTATAGACTAGACTATAGACTAGACTATAGACTAGACTATAGACTAGACTATAGACTAGACTATAGACTAGACTATAGACTAGACTATAGACTAGACTATAGACTAGACTATAGACTAGACTATAGACTAGACTATAGACTAGACTATAGACTAGACTATAGACTAGACTATAGACTAGACTATAGACTAGACTATAGACTAGACTATAGACTAGACTATAGACTAGACTATAGACTAGACTATAGACTATAGACTAGACTATAGACTAGACTATAGACTAGACTATAGACTAGACTATAGACTAGACTATAGACTAGACTATAGACTAGACTATAGACTAGACTATAGACTAGACTATAGACTAGACTATAGACTAGACTATAGACTAGACTATAGACTAGACTATAGACTAGACTATAGACTAGACTATAGACTAGACTATAGACTAGACTATAGACTAGACTATAGACTAGACTATAGACTAGACTATAGACTAGACTATAGACTAGACTATAGACTAGACTATAGACTAGACTATAGACTAGACTATAGACTAGACTATAGACTAGACTATAGACTAGACTATAGACTAGACTATAGACTAGACTATAGACTAGACTATAGACTAGACTATAGACTAGACTATAGACTAGACTATAGACTAGACTATAGACTATAGACTAGACTATAGACTAGACTATAGACTAGACTAGACATAGACTAGACTATAGACTAGACTATAGACTAGACTATAGACTAGACTATAACTAGACTATAGACTAGACTATAGACTAGACTATAGACTAGACTATAGACTAGACTATAGACTAGACTATAGACTAGACTATAGACTAGACTATAGACTAGATTATAGACTAGACTATAGACTAGACTATAGACTAGACTATAGACTAGACTATAGACTATAGAGTAGACTATAGACTAGACTATAGACTAGACTATAGACTAAACTATAGACTAGACTATAGACTAGACTATAGACTAGACTATAGACTAGACTATAGACTGGCTATAGACTAGACTATAGACTAGACTATAGACTAGACTATAGACTAGACTATAGACTAGACTATAGACTAGACTATAGACTATACTATATACTAGACTTTAGACTAGACTATAGACTAGACTATAGACTAGAATATAAACAAGACTACGGATTAGACTATAGACTACACTATTTACTAGAGCTACACTACTGACTAAACTATAGTCCAGACTATTGACTAGTGCAGACTATAGGATGGTGCACTCATCCAAAGAACAGACGTAATAATATAGAAGAGATTATAGTCCAGACTATACGCAAAACTATATTCCTGACTATGGACTAGACACTAGTCCAGACTGTAGACTAGACTATAGTCTAAACTAAAGACTAAATTATAAGCCAAACCGTAGAATAGTCTATAGACTAGACTATAGACCAGACTATAATACAGACTATAGACTGGACTATAGTTCAGACTATAGACTAGACTATAGTCAAGACTATAGACCAGACTCTAGTCCAGACTTAAGATCAGACTATATTCCAGACTAATGACTAGACTAGTCCAGACTATAGACTAGACTATAGTGCAGATTATAGACTAGACTATAGACTACACTATAGTCCCGACTATAGACTATAGTCCAGACTATAGACTAGACTATTGTCCACACTATCGACTAGTTTATAGTCCAGACACTGTAGTCCAGTCTAAAGACCAGACTATAGTCCAGACTATAGACTAGTTTATAGTCCAGACTATAGACTAGACTATAGTCCAGACCGTAGACTAGACTATAGTCCAGACCGTAGACTAGATTATAGTCCAGACTATAGACTATTTTAGTCTAGACTATAGACTAGATTATAGTCTAGACTATAGATTAGATTATAGTCTAGACTATAGATTAGATTATAGTCTAAACTGTAGACTAGATTATAGTCTAAACTGTAGACTAGATTATAGTCTAGATTATGGAATAGGCTTGAGACAAGAATATAGAATAGACTTTAATCCACACTATAGAATAGACTTGGTACCATACTTTAAAAAAGACTAGAGTACGGACAATATATTGTATTAAAGTCCAGTCTATAGCATGTGAAATAGACTATAGATTAAACTATAGGATAGATTTTCTAGATTATTGTCCAGTCTTAGTAATATCAGCATAATCATAAAATAATATATTTACATATTTTAGTTAAAAATATGTCGATTTAAATAACTATTAAACTTGTCTAGCTTGTTAACTAATGATCATTTAAATATTACAGTTGTTTTTGTTTTTGCCTTTAAGGCAATTAACAGTTTAAATTTTGAATGAATAAGAAAAAATACGCCTAATAGATAGATAAACGAATACTTGGCTGAATTGGAATAAAAATATTTATAGTTTTTTTTTTTTTTAGTAACTGGTAGAAAATACAACAAAAATTGTGTGTTTGAAAAAAGAATCAATAAAATTTTAACAAAAATTAAGTAAGATTTAAAAAAATTGTGGTTTTGTATTATTACATCAAATATTTGTTAGTGTGAACGCACTATTGGTTAAATAATTTTCAAAGATTTTCATTTAAATGATAGTTTAGAAAATTTTGTTTTGGGAGAATGAGGAAAAGTACTTAATAGGTTATGAAAGTGTTGTTATTATTTAGCTATTTTATAGTTTTTGTTACCCAGCTCTGAGGTAATTTCGTTATTATTATTTATGGTAATATGAGCAGCTAAAATTTCATTTGATTTTCTAATGAAATCATATAATGACTTCATCGATAATAATAATAATAGTAATAATGAGGAATGTTATAAAACAATAGTTAAACTAACAAAGTATTAATTGCAGGGAAAACTAATTTAAAAAAAAATTGATTATTTAGCTAAACAAAATATTAAGAAAACTTAAATCGAGAGAAATTGGAAAGGAAATTCATTTAATTTTTTTGAAATTTATTTATTATTTCATTGTTTTAAAAAGTTTTCATTCAATACTTTAGTTTTAAGTGTGAAACATACCATCCTTTTCAATGTTTTTGTTTTGGTTTGAGTGCGCGAAGTTTACCACTAAAACTTAACAAACATAAACCAGTTTACACCTGTTGCTAAAACATTAAAGACTTGTCTATGCATGTCTAGCAAAATTTTTGCAATAATTTTACAGTTAAATATAAAAAAAATGTATTAACAACCAAAACCCGTTGTATAGACAAGTCAAGAAGAAACCTGTTCAATATAAATTAATGAAAAAAAAACACAAAAAATTTTGCAAATACAACAAAAATCAAATACCCACAGTTATAAGACTCTTTTAAATAACAAACCTCAATGAATACCGATTTCAAAAATATGTAAAAATATATACAAACATTGAGAGGAGACGCGACGCTTTAAGCTGATACCCACAAAAAAAGTGCTGATTAAAATTATGCATAAACACATTCAAATACAACAAATATTGAAATCCAAAACACCTGAACACAACAAAAACATGATGTCAATTTTAGGGTGTGTTTGTTTCAAAGCTTATTGTAAGATATCTTCTTGAATTTGTTTTTTTAAATTATATGCGAATAACTAATAGTTAATTGCCTTAACCAACAATTTGTTTAAATCGACATTCTACAGACAGTCGACTCAAATATGCAAAGCTATATTTGTACGAGTATTGAAAAAACATTTTTTTTAAAAGATGACAACATTCTTTAGCAAATTAGTTGACTCAAATAAGTCAATTTAACAATAGGGA